ATCTCAGATCTACTGTGGCTATCTGGGAGACCTCGGGTAAGCTACTTAGCTGCAAGACTGTGTCATCTCATGCACAAGTGGGATGACGATTATTTCTGTCCTATGAGCTGTTAGGTTGGGAAATGAACATAGAGTGCTCAGCAGAGCTCCTGACCCACAAGGAGCTCTCAAGTTTACTTGTTTCACACACTGACTTTCTACGCCACCCAGCTGACATTCACCCCAAGGGTCCAGCTTGGGAAGGAAAGGTAGAGGAGGGAAGAATGGGAGGGATGGTTGATGAACATCATTGGAAGAGACCAAATCTGGGCAGCAGAACAGAATCGCAGTGATTACATACAAAGGGCCTACTTCCCTTCCCTCATTAACTGACGCCTTGGGCACACTGCTCAACTTTTTAAACCTCGATTTCCTCATCTGTATTATGGCAGGAACTATAGCCTCTCATACAGGGTCGCTGTGAAGATCAAATGAGATTAGGTAGGCAGAGGGTCTGGATCATCGCCAACCTCTGATACATGTTTTATATCATGAGTCCCCTCAGACAGAGGTCAACTCATCTCTCCTTGGAGATCACCAGCTAAGACTGCCAGGCAGCAGCCTTCCTCTTCTCTCTGCTGGTCCCACATCCTTTTATACCTGGCCTGTGGGGCCTGGGACACCCATGGAGACTCATGAGTGGCAAAAACTCTGTCCAGACAGCCAATTCCTTTCTTTCCTACTAATAGGCAAGTAAGCCAGAGGCCTGATGGTGTTGTTGGAAAACTTGGTTCGGTTGCTTCTGCTTGCCCAGCTTGGAGGCTGGGCCATGGGGTATGCATAAACATCCTTCCAGGAGAGGTACCACCGCAGAGGTAGTACCCGCTCTGGGAGTGGGCAGAGGTCAGCAGCAGAGAGGCTGGAATTAGCAGCGTGTAAGTGCTTTGAAAATGGAGACCTGCTGGTGGGCTCAGCTGGTGGAGAGCTGGCAGAGATGTATATCCAGGATGGCTGGATGCTCCAGGTCCTAGAAGTCATCATCTGAAAGGGACTGACCTTTCTGTCCTCAGCCTGGCAGTTAGGACTTGCCACCCCCTTTCTTTCTGTCCCACCTTCTCTTCAGAACCACAAACACGCGCCAGACGTTGGCCTCTAGGCATTTGCTAATGGGCCTCCCTCCCCCCAGCTCCTAGGCCCTCCTCTGCTTGCAAAAATCCAGAATCCTCCAATTCCCTGAAGGGACGTCCTGTCTGTGGCTATGGCGCTTCAGCGAGACCCCTCTCAGGGCGTTGGTGATGTTCCAGGTTCTGTGCAGCTTATATAAATCTTTCACATCTTCTTAAAGATAGCTATGGAAAGGACCACCTCTCGTTGTGAATATGTGTATTGTATGTGCGTGTCACCTGTGCGACAAATTGTGTGTGATAAATATAGTGTCCCAGTGAAAAGAACATGAGTTTTAATGTCCGATAGATAAGGATTCTACTCATGGCTCTACCATCTTAATTCATTCCGCCCTATCTATTGATGCCTACCTGGAGCGACCTTGAACAAATTGTGGGTCTTTCTGGGTCTTGGCTCCTTCACTAGTTGAGATGAAATCATGATATTTATGTTGAACGGTTTTGGCAACAATTCCCAACCACGTGTGCATGTGTTTGCCTCTACGTAGAACTGTATTCAACCATCTAAAGGGATGAGACTCAGTTCTGTTTTTGAGCACGTCCTCCGGGCCCAGTTACACTATTTAATGGCTCACGTTAATGTTGTCACAAACATCCCGTCACTTCTGTCCAGCTCAGAGAAGCATGCAGACACACAAACCTGGCTACAGTGTGGCCCCCAGAGGACATACTCCAAGCCCTGACACCTCATGTCCCCTGATCAGTTGTGCCAGATGCTGAGTCCCCTCACAAGAGGCAAGGGGGATCCAGCATCCAGGCCTGGAGAGGGACAGGCCTCTCCCTTCCTTGGTGACTATGACCATACTGTTGGTGTCTGGGGCTATGTCACGACCTGTGTCTGGTGAGGTCCAGCCTGGATGAAGCCACGGGGGCTGGGGACTTGGTCACTGTGGAGGTTAGCCCTCCCTTAGCCCCACTAGAAGCAGGAAATATTGTTCACATCCAGAAGAAAATCAACTCTGTTCTTCAGGAAATAGAGTTAAAATATTCAGAGTATCTTTCTGGCATTTTCACCTTTCAATGTTGCCTTTAAGAATTCAGAAAGCAAATGATCTTCAAAATGATGTGTGTGTGTGCGTGTGTGCACATGTGTGTGCATATATGTGCACGTTCACTGACTTATTGCTCTTAGACCGGGTTACCTGGTCACTGACATCATTTGAATGTTAACTTCTTTCAAGTTCCAGACCAAGGACACCTCCTTAAGAAGGTGACTGAGAAACTTTTGGAGTATGCAGAAGGAGCAAATCTATGAAGCTAATGGTACTGGCTTCTGTCCTTACCAACTCTCTCACTTCTTTTAGCTTCAGTGTCCTTTTCTTGTCACTGTTGCAGGGATGAAATACAGTGTGATAATGTACAGATGTGTTCTGTAAATGCCAACGTGCTATGAGGGTATTAGCAAACACCTGACATTGTGCTTCCTGCACATACTGACGACCCTTCAGCGGGCACCTCCAGGCCAGAATATCAGGCCTTTGTTGGAGGATGTGCCCAAAGGATGTGCAGACATCCAGCTGGCCCGCTGGCCCAGTCCTCAGAGAACGTGCCCCTAAGCATACTCATAGACCACCCTCACCGGAGTTACTTAAGGAGCCCGCTAACACTGCAGAGCCCCAGACCCGCTGATTTGGAAACCCCGAGCATGACCCAGGGATATCAATCTATAACCAGCACCCCAAGTTTAGCAGGTGAGTCTGATAAACACCAAAGTGTGAGAATCGTGGACCCAATGGTGCCCCCAGACATATTCCTTGGTTCATTTACTCTACAGCAGTACATGGGCACCTGTCTCACGCCATGGGCTATTTACGGGGACAGTCTTTGGGAGCAGGGGAGCTGCACAGGTGAACCGCTCACTCTGATGTCACACACCAAGTATGTAATGAACACACGTATCCAACTCTGGATTCGGTGGGCCACGCGAGGGGGCCAAGCGATGAGGGGGCTGCTGGCATTTGGTTCCGTTTCTCCCTCTGGAAGGCCAAGCTCTGCACACATCGTGCGTGGTTACTGCTCACCAGAGCTCTGAAAGGTAAAGAAGGAAACTGAGGCTCAGCCGGCTTCTGTGACTTGCCCAGTGTCCTAGGACGGCAGTGGTGTGTCGGTAAGTGTTCAAGCAGGCTCTCAGGGTGGGGGAAGGAAGCCCTGACCCCCACACCTTCCCCACAGGGTCTTGGTAAAAGGAGACAAGGGCTATCATCTCTGTGCACTTTCCTGAGGCTGGGCTTAGACCCCTGCGCGCCCAGAGTCCCCGAGGCTGCCACCATACCACGCCACCCACCATCCTCCCCTTTCTCTGAAGAGCTCTGGCACGTTGTGCTGTCCAGGTCCTTCGCAAACTGGAGCTTGCTGTCTCACCAGACCCAGGGCAGACGGTGTGTGGTTGACAGACGGCAGCAGCTGGAACTCAGGCCGGGAATGCTGAGCCACACCGTGGCTCTGCTGAGGCTGGCTGTGGACAGACAGGCCGGCCCAGTTGTGAGCGCTCAGGGTCAAATAAAGTGCTCATCCTGGCTGAGGGGACGCCCAGAGGATGTCACAGTGAGTCTCAGCTTCCCTGCAGCAGACTTGAGAAGCTCTGGCCGCAAGGTGATAGAAAGAGGCCGGCAAACCGAGCGCCCCCAGGAGTTTAGCAGCTGCCCTGGAGCTGGGCCCTTGGTCATGCAGGACAGACGAACACGGGTTCCTTCCGTCCCCAGCAAAGGAGCCTACCCCACCGAGTCCCCCCAGCACAGCCTGGAGAGGGAGGGCCTCAGCCCTGGGAAGCTCAGCCGGCGCAGGCGGGTGGGACCTCCACGTCAAGGTCTGGCTGGGCCGGTGCCCAGGCCGGGGCAGGTGGCACTGAGGCGTGAAGGTGCCCAGGCATCCGTCCCTTTTCTCAGACAGACTTCCTTGACTCAGCCTGTCTTCGACACACACACACACACACACACACACACACACACGCCGGAGGGCTGGAGGGGCGGGGGGGGGGGGGGAGCCACGAGGAGGAGCCAATCACCCCGCACCGGAGCCTTCAGGGCCGGTTCCCTCGGCGGCGCGGCGTGTGAGAGTGTGTGCGCATCAGCGGGGATTTCTGTGATAGAGGCAGCCAGGTTCCAGAGAGGGAGAGCAGAGGAGGGGGAAGAACGAGAGGGGAGGAGAAAATTGGGGGTGGGAGAGACAGACGGAGAGAACAGCAGTGGGAGAGAGGGAAGAGAAGCGCCGCCAGGAGAGAGGAGGAGAGGGCGGGAGGGAGAGAGCCGGCGGAGGGGAGAGAAGAAAGGGAGAGCGAGCAGGGAGAGCGCAGGACGCGAGAGCCGCGGAGCCGGCGGGGCGCGCGCGGAGAGGGATGG